ACACAACGTTGATTTTTTTGGAACCAATTAACATCGTTGTGTGAGGCACCACTGTATATTGGTGCTTAGTATGCCTCGTGGGGCAGTGGTTAAACCGCTGTACTGCAGCCAAAACTCTGCTCACGACCTGGGATTCAGTCCCAGGTAGCCAGCTCAAGGTTGATTCAGCCTTCTATCCTTCCGAGGTCAGTAAAATGAGTACCCAGCTCGCGGGGGGGGGCAATGTGTAGCCTCCATAATTAACTTGTAAACCAGCCAGAGAGTGCTTGAAGCACTATGGGGCGGTATATAAACAGCACACTTTGCTTTGCTTTTGTTTTGAATGGTCCAGAGGTTCTGGCCAAAAAATCTGGAAGGTATTAAGAATGGATGAAGTACAGCTGTTTTACTCACGTTGGACAGCTCAGGCACCGCAGAGGTGGTTGGTCTAGAAGTCCTATCTGATATAACCAATGGTAAGGAATTATGGGAATTGCAGCCCAGAAACATCTGGAGGGTCATACCCCGTTTCCCCAAAAATAAGACCTAACCTGAAAATAAGCCCTAGTAGGATTTTTCAGGATGCTCGTAATATAACTCCTACTCCAAAAATAAGGCCCAGTTAAGTGAAACCCTACCTTCCACCATTGTGCAGCCACCAGAAGATGACATGACTGTATTTGAATAAATGTAGATTATTGTACTTGAAAAAAATAAAACATCCCCTCAAAATAAGCCCTAATGCATTTTGTAACAAAAAAATTAATATAAGATCCGGTAATTGTTTACCCCTATGCTAGGGTGTGAGGCATGGTAAGCTCCATTTGTATTTCCCTTCCCATTTAGTTGAATGCCTGGCAGTTCAGACTATCTCCTGTTTTACGTTTGGGAGGCTATTTTGTCAGAATTTGAAGACATTTTCTGTGATGTGGAATTGAAGAAGATAGGAGGAGGAGGGAGTTCTTTGAAAGCAATAATACTTTCTATTAAACAGATAAGGCTATCTCTGCTTGGACAGAAGATGTTGACTGGAAGAATCTTAGTCCCCAAATATAATTTAAATAATATTTAGGAACAGATTTGCATTATTAAACTCAATTGACCATAAACTAGAATAACTATGAATTGAAGACAGAGCTATTATCAAGGAACAATGCAAAAATACAATTACATTAACTAAAAGAAAAGCCTATATAGATGATGGATGAAACACAATTGTCAAGGACAAGCAAGAAGTAAAAGTAAAAAGTCATAGAAGTAGGTTCAGAATCCAGAATATGGGTTTTCAGCAATTGTCATTCAGAGACAAAGAACACTATTACAGTCACTAATGCAAAGATATAGAAGAGAACAACAAAAAAGGGAAAGTGGGAGATCTCTTCCAGAAGATCCAGGAAAAGAAAGGGTTGTTTAAATCCAGATAAAGGATACTGAAAGATTGACAAGGAAATGTACTACATGACCAGGATAAAATAAAGAGAAGTTGGAAACAATATACTGAAAAAAACCATATAGAAGATATGCAAGAATGACAGATTTATATGGAGAATCTGCAATTTTAGGCAGTGAAATAAAATACAGTGGTGCCTCGCATAGCGAGGTTAATCCGTTCCGGATTAACCTTCGCTGTGCGAAAACAAAGCTAAACGGGACTAAAAAAGGCATAGAAACGCATTGAACTTCGTTCAATGCGTTCCTATGGCTTGAAAACTCACCGTTAAGCAATGTTTCTTCCATAGCGCCGCCATTTTCGCGCCATACAGGACCATTGCATTAATGTCCTCATTCAAGGAAAGTGACAAGGGGTCACAGGTTACTTGGCTGTTATAAAAGGAGGTCATGACCAATGTTCCTTCTAAGTTTCTAAGATCAGGCCAGGAGGCCCTTCTGAAGGTGCCATCCCTGAAAGAGGTGAGGGGGATAGCATGCCGAAATAGGGCCTTCTCAGCTAGTGAAATAAAATATGCTCGTAAAGCATTTGAAAAACATAAGTCACCTGGGGTAGATAGTATACCTATAGAATTATTTCTGATGCTGTCAAAAACCTAACAAGAGTATGCTGATATATATGGGAAGCAAAACAGTGGATCACAAACTGAAAATTTCATTCCAGTCCCCAAGAAAGGAGATGCCAAAGAATGCAGTAAATACAGGACCATTGCATTAATGTCCTCATTCAAGGAAAGTGACAAGGGGTCACAGGTTACTTGGCTGTTATAAAAAGAGGTCATGACCAATGTTCCTTCTAAGTTTCTAAGATCAGGCCAGGAGGCCCTTCTGAAGGTGCCATCCCTGAAAGAGGTGAGGGGGATAGCATGCCGAAATAGGGCCTTCTCGGCTGTTGCTCCCCAACTTTGGAATGCCCTCCCTATAGAGATCCGCCTGGCTCCAACACTTTTGGCTTTTCAGCACCAGGCAAAGACCTTCCTGTTTAGCCAGCATTTTAATTAAATAGTATCCTCTAGCTGGCCGTATGAGCAGCAGGATTTATTAATATTAATGTTTTAATGACTGTTTTTAATATAGGCTATTATTATAATATTGTCTATATCTAATGGTTTTAATGTTTTTAAAGTTTTAATATTGTTCTACGCCACTCAGACCATTGGTAATGGTGTGGCTAAAAAATCTTGTAAATAAATAAACACCGTTTCCCCGAAAACAAGACACTTAACTAGGGCTTATTTTGGGGGTAGGGCTTCTATTAGGTGCATCCTGAAAAATCCTACTAGGGCTTATTTTCAGGTTGGGTCTTATTTTCGGGGAAACAGGGTAAATAAGTTTCTGTCCCACTGCGTGAGAGCCTTGCTCCATGTACACAGGACTTAATTTAAAACAGGAAGTAAACAAATCAGCTACTGGGTGAGCATGTGCTTTTTTTAGATGCAACATGGGTCATGACTTGAAAAACATTGGGAACCGCTGCTGTAGACGACTGTATTTTAGCAAGGTCTGTTTTAAAATGGAAACTAAGTATACATGAAATCTTTAAAAATATATTCAAATTAAGTTTAAAAATAAATTAACCTAATTTATTTTGTATAGTTACACTTGTGGGAGGGAAATAATATAACTTGTAGCAAGGAAGTGCTGCTAATTAACAAGTCCCCAATTGGATTTTCGGTTGTGCACTGATTTACCCAAGTGGCATGCAATGCAGAATTTAAATGAGCACTCACTAATTTGTGTCAAGTTTTGCTTCAGCTGGACTAAATATGCAAGGGAATTTTAGCTACTGTATGAAATATGTTAAGGTTAAGTACAGAAAATATTTTTCAATACAGTACAGTACTGCTTATTTCCCTTGATTTACAATTTCATGTCCTCTATACCTAACTTTTTGATCCAAATTCTTCACTTTTATTTCCTCTGTGTTCTAGCCCATAATATTTTTTAAAATATATTTTTAACAGATTTACTTACTGAGACTATCAAGATGTCAAAGGTAAGGACAGTATCAAAGATAGTGGTTTGTATATGGTAAGCATATTTATTATGATTACAGTGGTGCCTCGCTTAACGATGTTTCCTATGGGCAATTTTTGCTTAGCGATTTCGGGACCATGCTTTGCATAACGATTAGGTTTTTGGGTCCCCAGTTTCGCTTAATGATGGTTTAAACAGCCTCATGTTTGCTGTTTTTTAAATGTTATAAAGTTAAAGTTTACTGTGTAAAATGTTTGAAATCATAAAGTGCACTTAATAAATCCTTTGTTAACCAAATTTGACTTTGTTCTGACTCTTTTTTAATTTGTTGTTGATTTTTCCCCCATTGAGATGCATTGAATGGGTTTCAATGCATTTCACTTGGGGAACTGCATTTCGCTTAGCGATGTTTCCTATGACGATTTTCGTTTAAGGACGGCAATTCGTTCCTATTGGAACAGATTATCCGGTTTTCAATGCATTTCAGTGGGAAACCGCGTTTCGCTTAGCGATGTTTTCCCATAGCGATGATTTTTTTGGAACCAATTAAAATCGTTAAGCGAAGCACCACTGTATATTGTTTTTCAAAATACAAATGTTTTGAATGTGGATTAAAAATATATACTGCTTTTCTATACATATATATAGTAATTCTTTAATAAGCATGTATTGAATGCCTTTCCTCCATTAAGTTCAAAGTGAGATAAATAGGTTTCTTTACTTCATTTTGTTCTCCCAAAATTTCTGTGAGCTAAATTAGGCTGAGAAACTATGACTGACCATAGGTTACCAAGCGGACGTCAGATATTTGTATTCTGGGGAATACAAATAGCCAGGATCACAGGTGTTATGGAAATTCAGCCCCTCCTTGCTGCCCAAGCCAGCTGGTACACTCAGTGATTGTTGCGCTGTGTGCGCATCCATCATCCTTGTCATTACACCAATTGTGGAAGCAGCCTGACTGGCTCTTCCCCACCTCCCTGTGCCCCTAACCACTTAACAGTTTTGTGGGGAGAGTCCCCATCCTGCCTCCTTGCCAAAGTACCGTATTTGGCTGCACGAGGAGTAGCATATGCTTGTCTCAAAGATTAAACCATGCATGTTTAAGAAACCCACTTGATTTACTCAAGGAGGATTGGAAAGGTGTGATTCAAGATTCTTCTTTGCCAGTGGCACAGTACGTCTTATGAGTTGCAAAAGAGGCTGAGCTAGATTCAAAGCGTAGCCACAAGGGCTTTGTTTGCTATTTTTGGTTACTTGGGCGTCCTTCCTAGTAAGGCTGGTATGCAAGGATCAAAGTACAAAGCTGTGTATTTTAAGATCTTAAAAAGAGTTTTAAGTTCAAATAAGCGGGTAATTGGAAATCTAGGGACAGAAGCTTACCCATAGTTGCCCACTCACATACCTATTAGATTTCACCCAGTCTAGAATGGAAAGGTGGTGGAAGTTGGGAACTACAGTTGGCTCCTCCCCTTAGTGGAATGACTTCTCTAAGGAGATGTATTCCTCACATGGCAGGGCTGCTTCTGTGATTTGTGTGATGATGAGGATAACAGGCACACAAGCCGCATAGCAACCAGTGAGTGGACCAGCTGTTTTGGGGTGGGAGGACTGAATTTCCACAGCAACTGTGGTCTCATTATTTTTATTCTTATCCCCTGGGATACGAATACAAATATCGTAAGTCTTATCAAATGAATTTCTTGGCTTATTGGAGACTACAACCTGCATTTCCCAAGTCTGTGTCCAGCAATCTGTGTCCATGGATGTATTTTTCAGTATGAGTGCTTACACTTAATAAATAATAAAATGTTTACATTTTTTCATTTTTGTAATAAAAATATAGGAGAAAGCAACCATATCAAAATGAAACCACATCACAATTATGTGATGCAATAAACAATTGACTTGTTCACTCACACCCATTGACCTGACTTGCTTTCTCTTCATACTATATAATGGTAATATGTTGTATTTCCAGATACAAAATAGATAGTAATAGCATATTTGCTTTCATCCAGTGAGTTGCAGTACAGACTTTCAGTGCACTCAGTACTTTAATAACTAGTTCTGTCTCAGTTGCACAATGGGCAGGTATTTAAAGAGGGAAAGGGAGGTTTTCCTGAGAATTCTTCAATGTTTTTTGGGAGTTGGAAAATGGGTTAAATTAAATCAGAAGAATCACAATTGTGATCATTGAGACAAACTAGTCTTAATGATTTCAGTACAATATGAGAAAAACACCTAGTGAATATTCTTCTGTGTGATTTACTTATTTGATTTTAAAATCCTTGTCTTAATGTCATTGAACTGCTTCAAAATTGGGTTGCAGATTAAATGCATATTGATAAAATGCGTTTAATAAGAAATTAGTACAAAAAGTACTAGTTTTAAATTTGAAGAGCCTCAGAGGTGGTAGAGTTAAGGAAGTAGCAATGGAAAGAGGAGTGGAGTGTTGAGAAATATCCAAGTATTTTCAGTACTGCCATGCAAGAATACCTACATTAACAAACTTTTTAAAATTATGTTTATTTTCAGCAACAACCTGCTGAAAAATTTACAAATCCAGAAACTCCTGGTTATGTTGGATTTGCAAACCTTCCAAACCAAGTTCACCGAAAGTCTGTGAAAAAAGGCTTTGAGTTCACCCTTATGGTTGTTGGTAAGCTAAGTTCTCAGTATAACTTTTCTCTCCTTAATAGATGTTACAATCCAGGAATTTTCAGCAGCATGAACATGTCATATAACCATTATATCTAAATTAATTAACATTAAGAACTATTATTTATGATTCTAAACTCAAGTGAGTATCTGTAGTTCATGTGCAAAGCACTATGCCAGATTTATTCCCTTAAGTTTTGAATGTTACCTGATAGTAGACAAATCTTTCTTGGAGAGGAGTGAATAGAACAGGAGTCTGATTTTGTGGGGGAATGACTGCAGAGTTTAATCCAAACTTTAAGGAAGCTGTCCAAAATTCACAAAGTGTTCTCGGCATAATGTTCAATACCTTGGATAGTTCTTGTAGAATTCAGAATAAAACCCAGAGTGGTACACTGCCCCTCAGGCAATCCTTCATATCGAGAATCCAGGGCAAAACAAACCTCTAATTCTGGAAGGAAGGAAGGAGGAAGCTGACTTCAATTCTTGGCTCTGCTTTCATGTGGATAGCAGGACTCCATGTTGCTCCTACGTAAACTTTGGAACAATGGCTTGCTAGTTTACTTTTTCCTTTTTTTGGTCTTCCTCCTCCACTCGTCTCCACCTTTCCTCTGTTAAGAATTGTCAAGATGGGAACTGAAGTGAAGAACGTGTTCACATTGATTAGAGAGCTTCCTCTCATAGGTCATGCTTTTCTTATCCACTGGGGGACAGGAGACTCCTCACAGCTATGTCTTCAACTACCTTTAGGAACTCAAAACCCATAGTTTTGCTTAAAAGGCTTCTTCCCTACTATGGCTTCATTGCAGTGCTGCTGGTGCTTTTTTTCTAGACAGTAACTGGAACACCCTTCTCTACATCCCATAAATTTTTTTCTCTGAAACCTGGCATGCTAGCTTTGGCATTCCTCTGAGATTTGCAGTGCTGCTGACAGTTGCAGAATGCACTGTTTCTGCAGCTTAGTGCAGCAGCAGCTGAGATGGACTCCAGTGTTTGTTTCTGCATTCCTTTGTCAGTTATTCTGAGTATCCAACTGCAACATGTTTGTAGGTGGCTAGGCCCAAATTGGCCCAAAGTGAAATGAGCTTTTTGTTTAATTTTTGTTCATGCTATTTTAAAAGAATACTTGATGCTTCTACTGTCTATCTTACCTGAGACTCGAGGGGAAACGAGGCACCATGGGTTCACATAGGCCAGTGACGGTGAACCTTTTCCAGCCCGAGTGCTCAAACTGCAACATAGAATCAACTTATTTATTTCAAAGTGCCAACCCTGCAATTAAAACCCAAATGCTGAGGTTTTAGCTTAGAAAAAACAACTGCTCTTGCAATGCAAGGGTTAAATGCTTATTTTTTTCCCTATGGGTGGTATTAACAAAGAAATACTTACCGGTCCTCCAATCCCCCAATTGGCAACTTAGGCCTCATGTGCCCACAGAGAGGGTTCTGTGTGCCAGCTGTGGCACGCGTGCCATAGGTTCGCCATCAGTGACATAGGCCTTTAGCTAATAAGGAGTTTTGAGCATTTTGAGCGAGTTTTTCTCTATCCATTCTACTGCGTGGAAAGCACAAATGGCAACAAAAGCTGAAATGTCTGTATTGCCAACAGATTTTGTTCATCCTGTCATTTCTCTGCCTTACCTTTTCCTAAGAAAGCAAAATGCAAATACAAATTTACACAGCTACAAATTGGTTTCTGTTAAGACCAAACCTGAATGCATGTCCTTTCCCTAATGTGCCTTCACCCTACATCTCTGCTGCTGAGTGAATGGGACAAATTTGGTTACTCAGATGGCTCCCATATCATCTGTCAGTTCCCTCTGCTGTCTTATGTCTTGCCAAGGGCAATCGATTCTTTTTTATTGTCTTTGAAGAACCTTTTAAAACATTAAAGCAGCTAACAATCTACATTGTTCCTGGATCAGAACACAAACCTTTGGAAAGAGGACCTGTCCTCCGTCCCATCATTCATTGCAGATGGATTAAATAGGAGATTTTCCCCACCATAGTCAGCATGGCTATCAAGGTCTAGAATCTGGACCAGTCAGCAATACCTTTTGAAGCTGTCCCTTTACAAATGGAGCAGGAGGGCAGCTCTGAAGTTCTCCCTGTAATGTTCCTGCTGATATGGTGGTGCCTGTCTCTGAGTGTTTCTTGTTTGTAGATGAAGAATGACATGAGCCAGGCAAACATAAGACTTTTCTGTCCTTTGATTTAAAAAAAAAATCAGTGCACTACTTGCAGTAGCCATGAACTGATAGCAAGGGCACACAATCCTTTTGTTTTAGAGGACAATTATCCTCTTCTGAATATTTTTCCTGTACTTGAAAGTAATAAGCAATTTTGTGTAAAATATTATTTTTGGATTCACTTAGCAATACAAAGACCCAGATATCTCTTCGATCAACTTCTTTCCATATTCCAGTGGAGGCACTTGAAATTTTTAGAAAATATTTCTTTATCCCATTACAAGTCATAGTCATAAAGCAGGTGTTGTTGTTGTTTCGCTTATGGATAGCATGTTAGAAGAAATTAGGAGTGGTGAAATAGCATGCACCAGAACATTTTCTGCTGCTGCACACCAAAACTAAAAAATTCTTTTTTATAATGATGTCCAGCATTGGTGCAAAATAAGAACAGTTGCACTTGGCTGTTAAGACTCTAAGGCAAAAGTTACTGGTTACAAATAATCTATTGATCTTTCTGTAGTTCACATTTGAGGGTTGAGAAATTCCAGATGATATTTGTATGATAATCCTAAAATTTTGAGTTGTATTTAGAGGACACTCCTGCCCCTGTGAACATGAATAATATGAACTGTTAGCCTACTGTCCCCTGCAGAGGCTTAATGTATACTTCATTGATTTTAATGTTGCTTATGATACTTTTTGTTTTATTTATTTTTATTGTTATATGAAGATTGTAAGTTGCCTTGGGCTATAAATGTAATGAAATAATAATATTTAAGTTCTGTTGTAGCAGTTAGCACAAGTGTACATGGCAAAATCATATTGACACAACTTTATGTGGCATTAACTGGATCAGGCATTGCAAGCATTTAATTTAGGGTAATTAAAAGCTTCTTATACCTCTCCTTTTAGGTTCTGAGGTTCCCTCAGCCTCCCTTTTGTCTTGACAGACTATTTAGAAGCCTCAGGATGGGACAGTAGTAGTAAAAAAATTGCTACTGGATGGTGTCAGCAATACAGCAGCAACTTTTTACTATTAAACACTTACCCCACTATATCCCAAGGCTCCCAAAGGACCCCTAGCCAGCCTCAGAACCTAAAAGGAAAGGGATGGGAAGTTTATAATTACAATAAATTAAATGCTCCCATTGCCTGATCTGGGTTACACCAGTGCAAAATTATAGAACAAGATTTTGCCCATTAAAGGATGCAGCTCCACATAACACTTGAATCAATTTTTTAAAAAAACTACACACATACAGCCAGTGTTACATTTGATAATATTTCATATGAATTTATAGGTGAATCTGGACTGGGAAAATCTACTTTGATAAACAGCCTGTTCTTAACAGATCTCTACCCAGAAAGGATAATCCCAGGAGCAGCTGGTAAAATGATTTTTTTTGTATCTTTATTCTTTGAATTCTGTATAGATTTTAATGAACGCCAGTATATGTGATGAAGTGTGCCCATTATTTATTTGGGGGCTGAGGCTTCTAACTGTTCTGATGCTTTGTTTTAAATTTATTATTCTTTACTGTATTCCTCTGTCTCAAAAACACCTGTGGTTTTTTGTTTTTATTTGTTTGTATTTGAAAATTGTTTCATGGATGCCAGTCTGTTCTACATAACTAGTAGTTGAGTCTTTCTCAGTGTTAATTATAAATCCATATATTCTCCCCCCCCTCCACATCTGATTAAGGCAGACCTGGGCAAAGTGCGGCCTGCAGGCCACATATGGCCCACAAGCTGCTCCTGTCCAGCCCACCGGTCGCCGCTGAGTGAGCTGCAGCTCTGGCTCCGTTCACCCAGCACGGCAGCAGAACTTGTGAGATCCAATGCTGGGATCTCACAAGTTTTGACTGTTACTCCCTCCAGGGACCACCGCCGCTTCTGTGCACCATCCATGCACCGTGGCCGCTGTTGTTGTGGGGGGCACGTGCGGAGAGGCAGCGGAGGCAGCCAGAGAAGCGAAAGGAGCCGGTTCACCCTGCTGCGGCGTTGGCAGCCGGCAAATCAGCACCTCCATCCTCCCCTGCTGGGCTTTTTCTGTGCGTATGTGGGGGAGGTGACAGCAAGAGGGGAAGAGAGGGGTCGCCAGATCGATTGGCTTTCCCCGGTGTTCCACCACCGCCCCGCACGGTGTGTGATCACCTCCCCTGGAGAATCCACTGAAACGGGGACCATGGACTGTGCATCAGTGGCTTGCTCCCTTCCTCCCACCACCCCCGCCATCCACCCAATCTGCTGCTGTCGAATTACTGAAGACAAGCCATAGTACTGTGGGAAGAGAGGAGGAAGACAGTCAGGAAGGGGAGAAAAGAGCTGGGGGTGGCATTGGTGTGTGTGTCCCTGCGTCGCTCCCACCTGATTTGCAGGAGGAAGATCAACAGTTTGGGTTTTTTGCTTTTTGGCGCCCAGGAGCGAAAGGAACTGGGGAAGAGGAGAGGAGAACCTTATCGAAGGGAAGAGGACAAAAAAGAGGGGGGTTCCCGCCCCCCGCCCCCAATAAGGAGGGTGCCGCATCCTGGAGAGGCAGACATGGGAAGTTTCCTTTTTTATGGACAGTTCTCCCTCCCCCCCCATGGTTAAAGGGAGGGCCTGTGGGGCTTTGACTCCGGAGATATCTGATTAGCACTCTCCCCCAAATTCCCACCACTGCCACAAACCCCACACAACCCTGAACTTGCTGTGCACCACCAGTTTGGCTGGAACAGGCGGGGGCAGGCCCTCTGGGAGCTGGAGGACTCCTGTTGTCCAACATCTCTCTCCCCCCACCACTAAATCCCAAATTCCTTCTTTTCAACCCTGCAGTATTGTTTTTTTTAAAAAATTCCAGATGGAGTGGGGAGTGGAGAGTTCTTTAGAGTCTCCATTGAAGGAGATTTCTAGGGAACAAAATTTTCAGGAAGGGGGGGAAGAGTTCCATCTGTATCTTACAGAAAGAGCAAAAACACCACCACCACAAGAATAACAACAAAGGTATTCACCCATTGTGAGGTAGCTCCTCTTCCCAAAGCAGACCTGAAGGAAAAGTGGGCTCTCCCATTTCAAAGTGGGGGAGCTGGAAGGAGAAAGGGGCCAGGGGTGCAGTTCATGGATTCCATAACTCCGGATACATCACTATTACCTTTGTTGTTGTTGTTGTTATTTGTGGGGAGGTGGTGGAGGTACTGCATTTAAATACTTTATTGACACCTTGGGGAGGGTTGTTTCCTGTGTGTTCTCCTCCCTATGCTCTGGTGGCCTCTGTCTGAATGCCTGCAGATGTGAGTGTCTTCATTCACTGCAGGGCCTCACCCAATGGGTTCCATTTTATTTTTAAGTAAAGTTGGTTCGGCCCCCAAACACAGTTCAGATTTTTCATGTGGCCTCCTACAGAAATTAATTGCCCGCCCCTGGATTAAGGTCTGGATTTGCCGTGGGCAGTCGACAAAATGCAGTGCAATATTCCTGGAGAGGAATGGTAGTAGTTCCATACTTGCCAACTATTTCAGCCTTGCTTGCAGCACAAGGTTGCATCGTTTTTCTTATTTCTGTAGTTTCATTCTCCTTTGCCGTAGTGTATTTTTTCAGCAGGAAAACGCTTGGAATTGATGACCTTATTTCAAAGGTTCATTTTCATTAATCTTCTAAAATCAAATTTTGCTATTCTTTCTAGAGAAAATAGAAAGAACGGTGCAAATTGAAGCTTCAACTGTTGAGATTGAGGAAAGGGGCGTAAAGCTCCGTCTAACTGTAGTAGATACACCAGGTTATGGTGATGCAATCAATTGCCGAGATTGGTACGTATTTGCTGGTCATTTCAAAATGTTTATGCTTCTAAGGTTTAGTGTTAGGAATTCCTGAAATTCAGTTTATACTTCTGGGCTAAGCAAGTAAGACACTGATAAAAGATAGGAAGATAATAAATTATACCACATCCACAGATTATAGTAATATTTTAATGTTCTATTTGTGTCTTGTTGGCATACTTATAAACATGGATTTTTTTTAAAAAAAATTATTTGTTTATATAAAATGTTTTACCCCACTTTTCTCCTCAAAAGAATCCAAGGGGGCTGATATATGATAGTATGTTTAAGTATGTCCCAGTTTTGAGTAGGAATTGGGGGGGGGGCAGCTTATGATTTTTATTCCTCCCCTGCTCTCCCTCAAAAACTCATTTTTGCATATGCCCTGGATGTAGTGACTTGCTACTGCACATTACAATATGTTCTGTGTAACCACATTTTGCTTCTACAGTGGTGCCCCGCATAGCGACAATAATCCGTTCCGAAAAAATTGTCGCTATACGGATTCGTTGCTATGCGGGGCAAAAAACCCCATAGGAACGCATTAAAACACGTTTAATGCGTTCCTATGGGGGAAAAACTCACCTTTAAACGAAAATCCTCTATCCGGCCACCATTTTTGGTGACTCTAAAGCGAGGCAACACAGCGGGCGGCCATTTTGGAACCGCTGATCAGCTGTTCGGCTCTCTCTCTCTCCACCCCTTGCAGAGAGACTGAGGCACCGCGCCAGGGTGGCAGCGCGGTGCCTCAGTCTCCCTGCCCAGGGTGGAGTTGCGAGGGGGGGAGAGAGAGAGCACCAAAGTCAGCGGGGGGGTTGCGAAGCTGGCTTTCCTGCGATCTTTGCAAACCCCCCACCCATCAGCTGTGCTCCGGGGCTCTCTTTCGTCGGGGCCTTTGGGATGATCGTGGGAAAGCACTTCCCCATGGTCATCGCAAAGCGATTCCCCTGCCCCCCCGGTTTAAAACATTGCAATGCGATCGCTTTTGAGATCACAAATACTCCATCGCTATGCGGATTCATCGTTAAACGGGTCACTCGTTAAGCGAGGCACCACTGTATTCTGTGTCTTCCCTTGGGAAGTCATATTGGTTGGTGTGTTTTCTAGTTGTGGTCATGTCTGACACACACCATCCATCATTAGGAAGGTTTAATTAACTCCTTATCCAACCTGTATTATTTGCAACAGTAGATTAGAACAATTGTCTCTGTTTAAATCAATTTTTCTGGAGGGGTTGTGGGTCATGTCATATGTGTTGTAGTCCTTGTTTAATAATTTCTCCCTTGATCTTTCATAGCAGGATGTTAAGGTTAGTGTGTATGTATGAGAAACAGGCCTGGTGTGGGATGGGGAGAAGTCTCTGCTTTCTAAGAAGGGGTGACTACCCATTAAAAATGCTTTTTAATGCAAATGTAGTGAGGGTTACTTTGCTGTTATAAAAGGGGGTCACAACCTGAAAAAGGTTGGGAACCTCTAGTTTAAGTACTACCCAGTTAACAGCCCAGAGCCCAAATCCAGCCCCGTGAGAGGGTATCTGGTCTTCTTCATGGCCTCTGTGAATGCACACTAATGGGTTAATTCTGCACATGCGCAGAGGTCTCAGAAGATTCCAGGTCTAAGAGAAAATGCTAGGACCATCCCCGTAGCCTACATGTCCTGCCCATCCCATCGGTTATCTCAGTTCCAATTTTTCTGCGGTGTTGAGAGGTCTCTTGTCGGAGCGCTCTAGCTAGGACCTTGGAACTTCTGCATCCTTTTACCACCTACAAAGGAAAAAGTCACAGTTGTTCGTTTTCCCCCCTTCCCCCCCACTGGTTTATGACCCCTAAAGTCTCTTTTAAGAGCTGTGTTTCGTGCCGCAAAAAGTTACCAACAACAGACGGACACAATCTATGCTTAATCTGTTTTGGCGAATCTCATCAGCCCCACTTTTGCGTGCACTGTAAAACTCACCAAGCAAGCCCTCAAACCTAGACAACAGCGCTTGCAGGCGGGTTTCTGGCAAAAGTCTCTTGAGCCACCAGAAATGGAGTCTGCCTCGCCTCCTTTAAAATCTTCGGCTTTACCCAGGGCATCTCCTTCCCATCAGGCTAAAACATCCAAGCCCAAAGCCTCAACTGCTTCTAAAGTTAAAGTGAAACCCTCAGCCACGAAGCAACCAAAAGCCAAGTCGCCTCTGCGTAAGAAGCCAGCTTGCCGCTCTGAGTCTGGCTCGGCTGAAATTATTAAGGTAGCTACTCTGGTTCGGGAGGAACCATCCTCCCCGTTGCTCGCCACCCCAAGACCTCGAATGGAGGTAGAACCGGACGTACAGTCTTTAATTTCTTCGGTACTGGCAAGCCCTATGTCACAGCCTGACATACCATCCTTGGGCTCGGGGTCTCACCATCATCTGGATCCACTCACAATCAAGAAAAAGAAAGCTAAAATGAAGCATCTTGAAGTGCCGGTGCCGGAAGATTCCCAACTTTCGGATAAACCGAGGCTGAAGGTCTCCAAAGGCTCACGGTCCTGTGCTCACGGTACCAAGCATTCTAAGAGCCTGACAGCTTCTAAAGCTTCCCGACGTAAACAATACCGTCGGTGGAGGAAGGAGATGAAGTTGCTGTGCGATCCCCGCTTATTTTTTGGCTTTGGCTCATCTTCCTTAGGATCTTCAGATGATTCCGACTCATCGTCTGCCTCCTCTTCGTCGGACGATGACTACGGTACTGTGGGTCGTAAGAAGCGTGAACTCCGTCATAGCAGTCAGGTACCTGTGAAAAAGACCAAGACTGATGCTTCAGTACCGTTGGTACCTAAGACACGGGATTGTGACAGCGCCACTCGTCACACGGTACTATCAAGTGCCTACTTGGTACCTGTGGCTGAGACGCATGGTACTGCAGCTCATGGTACTGTGCTCAGTACCAAGAGAGGCAAGAGCTCGCCTTCGCCACTCTGCCTCCCTACAAAACCATCTAAACGCCATAGGACTCAGTTTAGCTCGTCTGATTTTTCCTCTGAATCCTATGTTTCGGAACCTGAACGAACCATCAGAATCTGAAGTGCCTCATGAGTCACCACCTAATGTCAACACTCCTGATTCAGATATTGGAGATGCTAACCTTACTTTTCCAGCTGCTGACTTTGCATCTTATTCCAACCTCATCCAACGAATAGCTACTGCCTTGGATCTTCTGTCCAAAAATCTCCACAAATAGAGAGTGATAAAGTGTATGAAGACATTGATGAGGATCACACTCCTCCTCTTCGCCTTCCCTTTATTCCTTCCCTTTTCCATCTTCTGAAGCAAGTATGGGATAAGCCATTCTCGGTACCGCCAATGACGCATTGGGTGGACAATCTGTATAGAACCCACGGTACCAAGACGGAGTTTCTTTCTAAACAGCCACCCTCAAACTCCTTGGTGGTGAACGTTACCCGCTCAAATTTGACACCTAACAATAAGGAAGGGAGGAAACTGGACATTTTAGGCAGAAGGACTTATGCTCTTGCCTCCTTCACTCTCCGAGCAGCCAACTACATGGGTGCCTACCATAAGCATTTCTGGAATAAAGCCTTTCCATCGCTGCAAGCTGCTCCTGCGGAACTGAAGCCTAAGGGTCTCTCGGTCCATCAGGAGGCCATGGCATTGGCGTGGCAGGAACGCATCACAGCGCATCACATTATAGAAGTGGCGTCCAAAACACTTATGACTGGCGTCGTTATTCGACGACATGCATGGCTTTGCTCTGCCAATATACTGGATGACTGCAAAATGCACATTGAAGATCTGCCCTTCAATGGTGTTGGTCTTTTCGCTGGCAAGATGAATGACATCCTCGAGAGCATGCAAAAGGCGAAGAAGCAAGCAAGGTCATATTCTGCCCAGCCATATTACAAAACCTACCGTTACTAATGGAAACGTCCCTTTGCTTCCCAGTCATACAAGCAGTATGCCGGTCGACCCAAGCTATTACTTCAAACAATATGCTTTGTACCAACCTAGATCTCATGAGCAGAAGCAGGGTCCTAGACAGTCTTACCGCAAGACGGAGAGGAAATCCAAACAGGGTCTTTGACTCCGTACCAACCATCCCTCCAGTTCTTACACCCGCCCCATCTGTTCGTCTGGCTCCTTTCCTCAACAGGTGGGCAAGCATCACGTCGGATTCCTGGGTGCTCTCGATAATAGCGCACGGCTATGTGCTGGAATTCCTGGATATCTCTCCACCATTAATCCTTCACACCCCACCCTCCGCCCCCCTCCAGAAGGAAATTCCTCCTAAAAAAGAGAGCAGTTTCTCCCATTGTGCCCGATCCAGACGACCCCCGGATTCTTCTCCCATTATTTTTTGGTCCCAAAGAAAGATGATTCTTTTCATCCCATATTAGATCTCAAAGACTTCAGATTTTTTCATTGCTTACCGCCGCTTCAGAATGATCACACTTGAGCGTGTTCTTCCTCTTCTTCATTGAGACAGCTGGTTCTCTATTGTCAACTTGAGCGATGCCTATTTTCATATTTCTATCAGAGCAGACTGTCGCAAATATCTTCGCTTCTCGCTTGGCGATTCTTCCTTCAAATTCAACGCTTTGCCTTTTGGGCTCTGTACAGCACCACGGATCTTCACAAAGTGCATGGCGCCAGTGGCAGCGTTCCTCCAAGCAAAAGGCATAGCAATATATCTATATATCGACCACTGGCTACTGGTCACTCGTTCCAGAGAGCAACTGATTCGTGACATACGACTTGCCTTGTCCCTTCTTCACTCCCTGGGTCTACAAGTCAATCACGAGAAATCCGTGCTTGTTCCGTCCCAATGCGCTTGCTACATTGGCGCAATCTTAGATGCCAAGGAGGCGAGGGTGTTCCTACCACCAGAGCATGCCTTCAAAATACGATCCCTCATAGCACATTTCCAGCCTCTGCACACGGTCACTGCCCATCGGACCCAGAAACTAGGCCTGATGGCATCCACCACATCTGTCATTCCCCATGCCAGGCTCAAAATGAGGCAGGGGTTTCTCCAGGAGTGGTTTCTCACACTCTTTGACTCTCTGGAGGATCCTCCCAGCACTCACCTGTTGGTCTCTCGGGAACTGGCAAAGCAACTGCGTTGGTGGACAAACCCCGACAATCTTTTTATGGGTCGACCATTCACACCTCTTCACCTCACGACTCGGCTCAAAACAGATGCCAGCACCATGGTTGGGGCGCTCACTGCAATCATCTCCACATCCATGCCCTTTGGTCCCCACGGGAGAGAAAGTTGCACATCAACAATTTATAGTTTCTAGTGATGTTCAAAGCTTGTCGGGCTTTCCTCCCAGCCATTGCGGGCCAAGCGATCCAGATAATCACAGACAATACGACAGCAATGTTCTACATAAACAAACAAGGCGGCACTACCTCCCTCCATCTCCTATACATCACCATTCAGTTCTGGGAGTGGTGTTTGGCTCACCACATATTTCCTTCAGCCATACATGTATCAACCCACAACAATGTTTGGGCTGACAATCTCAGCAGAATGACAACCGATATGCACGAGTGGTCACTCGATCACAAAGTTTTTCTTCGCCTCTGCAACCATTGGGGTTATTCGGACGTAGATGTCTTTGCGAACTGAACACCAAATGTGTGGTTTATTTCTCCAGAGCGGGTGTTGGCATGGGATCTCAGGGTGATGCCCTCACGATGCCATGGAACTACATGCGTCCACCAATTCCTCTAGTATTGCGCACCCTGGTCAAGATTCAACAGGAGAGAGCAGATGCAATTCTCATAGCTCCGTCTTGGTTGCGACAACCGTGGTTCACCACATTGATGAGTTTAGCCATCGACTCAGTGAGACTCCCAATCATTCCTCCTCTTCTTACGCAGAACAACGGAAACATGTACCATCCAGATGTTCCGTCTCTCCATCTCGCCGCCTGGAGAATAGTACATCAATAGATACTATTCTCTCCCATTCTTGGAAACCGTCTACTCGGACCACCTATGCGAAGAAGTGGATTTCCTTTATAAACTATACTACTGTACATGGCTTGCTATCTCTCCCTACTACTATGGACGTGGTGCTGCAGTTTCTCTCACACCTTTTCAATAATAAACTGACTTTGTCTACAATTAAAGTTTATCTGTCGGCCTTAGTTGCCCACCAGCCTTCAGATTCAGACACTGCCAATCTCTTTTGCCAGGCCAAAATGAAAAGGTTTCTGCGAGGGATTGCAAACCTTAATCCTTCTCGATTGCCACCCACTCTGCAGTGGTCCCTCCAGACGGTTCTTAACCGGTTAATACTTGCACCATTTGAACCTCTGGCATCTGTGTCTGAACAACTCCTTTCATACAAAGTGGCGTTTTTAGTTGCAATTACGTCTGCCAGGAGGGCATCTGAACTTCCAGCACTAAGGGTGGATCCACCTTTTCTCCAATTCCATCCGGACAAGGTCACCCTGTATGCGGATGTGTCTTTCCTTCCGAAGGTATCTACTGACTTCCATCTCAGGCAACCTATAATCCTTCCTATGTTTTTTCCGAATCCTACTAGTCCTACAGAAAATCCGTTGCATCTTCTTGATGTGCGGAGGGCACTTTCGTATTATGTTCATCGTACCGCTCCTTTTCAGCAGTCTCCCCATCTATTTGTTTCTACTTCTCATCCTCATAGAGGTCTTCCTCTCTCTTCTCAAACTATCTCCAAATGGGTCGTCGCAGTGATACGTCTCGCCTACACCTCTGCTCACAAGCCTTTACCTGGTCCAGTCAAAGCACACTCTACTCGGGCTGTGTCGGCTTCTACTGCCTTCCTTTGAGGTGTTCCTGTTCAGGACATCTGCAAAGCAGCCATTTGGTCTGCTCCCTCTACCTTTGCTGCGCATTACAGGCTTGACGTTCGTGTCAAGGAGGACGCCCGGTTTGGATGAGCGGTGTTATCAACTGTACTACTGTGACTTCCCTCCACCTTTTCTCTAGGTAAGCTTGGTATTCACACATTAGTGTGCATTCACAGAGGCCATGAAGAAGAAAGAAAGGTTACTTACGTGTAACTCTAGTTTTTCAAGTGGTCCTCTGTGAATTCACACTTCCCGCCCATCCTCCCCTCTTCCGTCATGTCCGTCTCTGTCCTGAGGCGCAGCGGAATTGAGGAACGGAGGTAACCGCTAGGACGGGCGGGCTACGGGGGTGGTCCTAGCGTTTTCTCTTAGCTCTGGAAACTTCCGAGACCTCTGCGCATGCGCAGAATTAGTGTGCATTCACAGAAGACCACTTGGAGAACCAGAGTTACAGGTAAGTAACCTCTCTTTCCTATTCCTACCAGAGTTTAGACCCAGTGCCTTGAGAGACCATGAAAAGAGGAAATGAGAGTTGGTCAGATTGAATGTGGTGTGTTATGTCAAGGATCCCTAGAGTCGTTTCAGGAACTAAGAAGTGTCAATAATGTTCTCATGTGCAAGAGCTGCATGCCTTCAAAATGTTCATAATATACTGCTTTTGATCTAGGCATTGCAGCAGTCTTGGTGAAGCCATTGATTCTAAATGTGGAAATATGTGTTGTGGGAATAAGATATTAATTAATTTAGCATAGGTATCTAGAAGTTTCCTTTGGGCAGTAATAAGAGGAAAGGACATTACGTTTGACTGGATCCCTGTATAAGTTTTGGGAGAAAAGGGGAGTTATGCCTTCTGAGGTCAAAGAGACCTTACCCAATATAAGAGCTTTGTTTCTGGGGTGGGAAGTGCTGCTGCATTTGGTTATGTTCTGAACTATTAGATGCACTCAAACATCTAGCCTCTAGATTTGTGGGATTCTTTCCAGGTGCTTTCTGGACTTTTCCTATACATATTACCCTGAGCTAGAATGGGCATATAAATACTCTTAGTTTACAAGAACTAGTTGACATTAGAAAAGTCATCTAATGGTCACCTAATTAAAGATAGTGTATAGGCTCTAATGCTAAGCTTTTGCAAAAGAGCCCAACTTATGCAGCAAGAATCAGTCTCTCTTCTGGAGTGCCCATGCACATGAGAAAGCTGCTCTGGAGGGCTGGAAAAGCATTCTGAGCTCATTTTCATGCCTCACTGAACGAAAGGAATGGAAAAGTAATGAGGTTTCCTTCAGCTCTAGCTGCATGCCAGTGTCATGTTGGAGGTACGCCTGTGCCTGTGCTAGTTATTCTTAAGCCTTATTAGCCAGCACAGTTTAGAAGAAAATGCATATTCCTTGTAGTGACTTTGGCAGTTATTTCCTCCATTTTTGTAATGCACCAGTACGAGTACGAGTAATGCACTCGTAATCTGTCAGTTTTGAAATTGTTCTTAAATTATTTTCGCTTTGTTAATTTTAACAAATATAGCTGTTTCTTTGAAACTCTTGGAGAAGGAATGCTTAAATAAACCTCATTCATATTTGATAACAGTTTCAGGACTATTATCTCCTATATCGATGAGCAATTTGAGCGTTATCTTCATGATGAGAGTGGTTTGAACAGACGGCATATTGTAGATAATCGTGTTCATTGCTGCTTCTATTTCATTTCACCATTTGGTCACGGGTAGGTATGATACTCCTTGTGGATTGGAGACAAAATATTTTATGTAGCAGCTGATGGTTTGTGTTCTTTTTTTAAAAAATCCTATAAAATTCTAGTATGCATTTTATTTCCTTAGTTAAATATAAATAAAAATGAAGTTCGGTTGCAGAACATAATGGAAAGTAATAATTACAATGGACCTTTTTTGTCTGTAGAAAGTTTGCATTTCCCTATTGCCTGTTTATAGAAAGCTTTCACTTGTGAAATAGGGGTCGATGTGCTGTGAAAACTTTATTTTATTTTTAGTTTCAAGCCCTTGGATGTTGAGTTCATGAAAGCCGTACACAACAAAGTGAATATTGTGCCGGTAATTGCAAAAGCTGACACTCTCACTCTGAAGGAGCGTGAAAGGTTGAAGAAAAGGGTGAGTTTTTACAGGACCATGGAGACACTTGTAATGCTTCATGACTAGTGTTTCATACAGTGAAGAAGAGACATATGAAATGAACCAGTTAAATCTTAAGCTTCCCTAGTCACAGTTTCACACTAATTTGTGAAGCCATTATATGTTTTAAATGCATGTCTGTGGCTTCATCCCACTTTCTTTCCCTTTGTTCACCTTGAAAATGAACTTTATAATGCATGTTTACCGTATTTTTCGCTCCATAAGACACACCTCTCCATAAGACGCACCAAATTTTTGGGAGAAAAAAAACAGGAAAAAATAATATGGGAATTTTGGCCTGCTGGGCCAGCGGGTGAGGGTGGGGGAAGCATCCAAAGGGTCCGAGAGTGCCTTCCAGGGTCCTGGAATTAAGATTGGAAGGGTCCTGGAAGGCACTCTCAGACCCTTTGGGGGCTTCCCCCACCCTCACCCCTGCTGGCCCAGCAGGCCAAAATTCCCAGATTACTTTTTTCCTGTTTTCTTCTCCTAAAAATTTGGTGGGTCTTATGGACAGGTCCATCTTATGGAACACACCCCAGGACCCTTTGGAAGCTCACCCAGCCCCTCCGGGGGGCAAAGGGGGGAATCACCACCTTAAGGGCCTCTTCTGAAGCCCCTGGCCCTGCGGGGGGGCAGGGTGAGCCTCCAAAGGGTCCTAGGGTCTGTTCCACGACCCTTTGGAGGCTCACCCAGCCCCCCGTGGGGCCAGAGGGGGCAAAATCGCCACCTTTAGGGACTCTTCTGAAGCTTCCCAAGCCTTAATAGAGTCGGTGGTGATTTCGCTCCACAAGACGCATAAACTTTTCCCCTGACTTTTTTTTTTGGGGGGGGGAAGCCGCCTAGAGAGGTCGAAATGACTAGATAGGCAGGGTATAAATACAATAAATAAAAAAAATAAAATAAATAAAAATTGTGTCTTATGGAGTGAAAAATACGGTACTTTGAGATAAAAACAGCCCACTGCGCATGTGCAAAGTCCTTGTGAAAGGAAGAGTATTGATTTTTCATCCTGCACCCCCATTTTGCCATTTTGACTCCTATTCACTAGATCCTTTGGGCTGGGCTGGGGCAGGAGTATGTAGGGCCATGAAGTGTGCACAGAAAAGCATTTGTGACCTTTTAATCTAAACGTGCATTGCCCTTCGAGACTGAAGGATGCCTAACTAACTAACTAAATTGCCCTATTGTGGTTTTACTTTTATTTTTTCAGATTCTGGATGAAATTGAAGAGCATAGTATCAAAATTTATCACTTGCCTGATGCAGAATCAGATGAAGATGAGGACTTTAAAGAACAGACTAGGCTTTTGAAGGTAAATGACATTAATGAAGCCAGAAGTATCACAGTTTGTCTTAACTAGATTGTTCTGAGTTGTCTTCAGAATAAATTAAACTTCTGTATTCTCTTGCATTTCTCTGCACCACCTATAAATCTGCTCCAGAGACTTTCCTGGCCCTCTGGGGCACCTTTTCAACCTGCATTAGAACAAGAAAAGAAAGGGGACTTTCCCCCTTCCTGATTGTGGTTTGGCCAGTAGAATGATCCAGTTGGTGACTAATTACCAAAACTAATGCTCATAACTCTTTGCCTCTCTGAATTTATGTCATGTGTGAGCAGTAATTTTTTATCATTTCTTTTAGCTCAATAAAATATAATGTATTCATAACTTATTTTCATATTTCCATCAATTTTAGACAAGCATTCCATTTTGTGTAGTGGGATCTAATCAGCTAATTGAAGTCAAAGGCAAAAAGGTCAGAGGTCGGTCCTATCCTTGGGGAGTTGTTGAAGTGGAGAACCCAGAGCATAATGATTTCTTGAAACTAAGAACCATGTTAATGTAAGTATATTGCCTTTCTTTTGGTACATAATCTCTTGTTAGCTCATCTCATGTTCTCTCCTACAGAAATGGCAGAATCCTCCTTTTTTGTTGAACTTTTAAGGTGCCATATGATTTTTTTATTATTATTGTGACAGCACAACATGGGACAAAACGCTTCAACATCTCCTGTAAGTTAGCACTTGGCAATCTTAGAAATCATCTGCCACTAATTTTCTGGCAAATTCCACTTCGGACTGAGGTCCAAAACAGGTCACTTGACCTTGATATAGAACCGTAAAAACTGAGATTACTGGGCTGAACAGTAATGAAGACTGTATGCTGGCTTCAGACATTTTAAGTTTTATTGGTTTGTTGTGTTTGCTCCGACCTATACTCTTCCTCCTCCATTGTATATGCTTGTATTTAAGGGCTAAAACAAGTAATTATCAATGGATATGGGATTCTTATCATTCTAGCACCCATATGCAGGATCTCCAGGAAGTGACTCAGGATCTTCACTATGAGAATTTCCGTTCAGAAAGGCTTAAAAAGGGTGGCAGGTTAGTACCTCTTTAATTGCAACTATGATTCTATTTAATTTATTCTATAAGTTTTCAACACTGACATTTTACATTTGTATATGTTGATGAGTACTTGTTGACAGGGTTTTCAGGAATATTTTTGTTTTGCTCTCCATCCCAAACACATACCTGGGCATTCCAGACAGTAACAGCGAATGAAGTTCAACAAGGCCAAATCTCTTTTTTAAAAAAATCAAATATACAAATGTAGAATGAGTAACAACTGGCTCAGCAGTAGTTAGGTGTGGAGAAGGTTTGCAGACCTTAGTAACAGGAGTCAATAGTGTAGCACCAGAACAACAAAAGGTGAACACAGTAATAGAGTGTATCAACAGACTCCAGATTAACAGAAGTAATAGTACTATTGTATTCTGCCGCAGTCAGACGTCCCTTGGAATAGTGTCCATTTATTGATACCACAGTTTAAGAAGAATGTCAGCACGCTGGAACGTGGGACTGATAGTTTCTCTGCCCACTAGGTGGCATCCAGGGTGCTTTTGTAAACACTACCAATGCACTAATTTATTGCAGTTCCTCAGGAACTTAAACCCTCCCAGTAACTTTCTTCAGAGCAACATTGTGGCTCTGAGAGGTGTGGAATGGAGTTGATTGAAAACTCCCATAAGCAAGGTTTCCTCTAAGGAGCATGGCTCGACAAGCGAACACAATTCCAACCCTCTCCATGCAGGGCTCTTCCTCCATGCACTCACAGTGATATTTTTCAGCCCCTTTGGTTCTGGTTGTGATGGAACCTTGCAAGGGTGTGTGTGTGGAGTTGCATATGCAAGGGGCTGAAAATGATCACAGAAACTGTTCAGCAATGGGTTGGACTGTCTCAGAAGGTGATACACTCCCCTTACTTGGAACTTTTTAAGTAAAGCTTAGATGACTGTTAGGTGTTACTCTAGTTTGGAGTTCATGGTTTTGCAGGCAGTTAGACTTGATGACCCTTGGGATCTCTTCTGGCTCTACAGTTTTTTGATTCATCCCTGAGCCTGGACATCCAGGTTTTGGCAGTGGCCAGCAATGCATTTCCACAGTTAGCTAGTATGCTGCCTGCCCACATTCTTAGAGATGTCTGATCTGTCAGTGGTGACTAATGGCCTAGTTACATCTTGCTTGGATTACGGTAACATGGTCTGTGTGGGGCAGCCTTTGAAGAGTATTTGGAAATGTCAGTTGGTCCAAAAATGCTGTGGCAAGACTACTGGCTAGGGCTGGGTACACAGTGCATGCAATTCCTCATTTTAATGAACACTGGCTGCTGGTTCATTCGAAATCCAATTCAGAGTGCTGACTTGTAAAGTCATATGAAACTTGGGTGTAGCCTGACTGACCATATCTTCCCATATGAACTGGTACAGTGTTTAAGGTTTCAAAGGAGGCACTTCTCTTGGTTCTTCTCACAGGTATATTTGATGAAGATGTGAGAGGAGTCCTTTTCAGTGTTTGATTCCAGATTTTGGAATTCCCACTTTTGGGAGGCTGGATTGGACCTCTCTGCTATCATTCTGGCAATACAGTGGTGTCTCGCAAGACGATTGCCTCACGGGATGATTAATCCGCAAGACGATGGGTTTTTACGATCGCTGTTGCACTTCACAAGACAGTTTTTCCTATGGACGATTTTCACAAGACGATGTTTGGGTCTATGCTTCACAAGACTTTTTTTTTTTGACCGATGCTTTGCAAGATGGTTTTCCCCCCCATTGGAACACATTAAATGGATTCCAATGCATTCCAATGGAGAACCGTGTTTCGCAAGACTTTTTTTTAGAACGATGCTTCGCAAGATGGTCCCCCCCATTGCACCACATTAAATAGATTTCAATGCATTCCAATGGGGAACCGCATTTTGCAAGACAATGTTTTCTATGGACGATTTTCGCAAGATGATGATTTTTTCCCCATTGGAATGCATTAAATAGATTTCAGTGCATTCCAATGGGGAACCGCGTTTCGCAAGACAGTGTTTTCGCAAGATAGCAATTTTTGCGAAATGAATTAACATTGTCTTGCGAGGCACCACTGTAAGTAAAAAAACTATTTTTAGGAAGGCTTTTAGCAATTAAATTGGACAGAAGAAAGAAGTCTTAAGAATATACTCAAGGTACATCTCAGCCCTCATATGACAGATTTTTGTGATCTGTTTTTAAATCCTGATTGGTCTTTTAAAAATACTAGCTAGTAGTAGTGTGATGGTTTTAAATAGCAAGTGAATGAAAATCCTTAATGAAATCTTGCTTGTAGAAATATGTATCAAATAGTGCTGTTGCTTTGAAAATTACATTGGTTTATAAACATGCTGTTCTTTCAAAAAGAGCTGAAAGATTCATGTGTCAGTTATAATTACCGTACATCTCTTTTTTTTCTCAATTTTAGGAAGGTAGAAGATGAGGAAGTCAATAAAGATCAAATCTTACTGGAAAAAGAAGCTGAAGTAAGGATTTTATTTTTATTCCAAATATATTTGATTTTTCATAACAAATACTGTTCTTGGTTTTCTCCTTAAGGGCACAAGAAAACAAAAGCAGGAGACAATATGCCATAACAAGGCATATTGTAGCCATACTCAGTAGGTCTCTGTTTTTGGTGCATAGAGACAAAATAGCTTGTTGTAGGGCAGCATGGTTATCCATCAGATAAATAAGTTCACTGGTGCCTTAAACAATCAAAAATTAGGTTGTTTTTTGAAAGAAACATGAGAATGTCATTGTGGCAAAATGCCAACACATTACATCACTCCTGTCTGTCCATCATGAAAGCTCCAAGGGGAGGAGCCTATGATAGGACAGGAGGGGCGGGGTCAAAAGGGACAGTTCAGTGAAAAATGACAGGAGCTAGAGGCAGAAGATAATGATTTGGAGAGGGAGAGTTAGGAGAGGGAATTGAGAAGGTTAATACCGTGGTGCCTTGCTTTACGATTGCCCCGCATTACTACGAAACTGCATTACGACGATCTTTTTGCGATCGCAAAACAATGGTCTGAATGGTTTTTTTCGCTTTCCCTGCTTTGGGAACCTTCTTCGCAAAATGACGTTTTTTTTGAAACGACGAGTTTCAAAATGGCCACCGGGTAAATAAAATGGCTCCGTGCTGTTTTCTGGGACGGATTCCTCGCTGCACAGGCATCAGAAATGGCCACCCTATGGAGGATCTTCGCTGGACGGTGAGTTTCCAGCCCATTGGAACGCATTAAACGGGTTTTAATGCGTTTCCGTGGGCTTTTAATTTTCGCATTATGTTTTCGTTTTACAGCGATTTCGCTGGAACAAATTAACGTCGTAATGTGAGGCACCACTGTACATAGATGGAACAGTTGGAATGATAAACAGAATAGAGCAAGAGTTGTAAGTAATAGAGAATTAGTAAAAGTATATTGTTCTGAATAAAAGTACCATCAAACCAATGCATAAACAAATCCTATTTAATGAATGATACCGAGCATCTCGGATTTACCCAGTGTGATTTACATGACAATAAAAGAACATCTGTAATTTAAACCTCTGATTCTCAAACTCAAAAGTTCAATAAACCTGTTATACTTGGCAGCACACATGTCTGAAATACATAATTGGTATTAGGTGAATAATACCTGGTCGCAGTGTGTAAAGTGGAAAAGCATCCAGAGGGTGAATCTATGTTTAAGGGAGATTAAACGGGCTCTGGGTGGGCACGACAAAGTGGTGGCAGTATTTTTTATATCTGAAAAAAATCATTCTTAGAAATAGTCTCTTTTTCCTGCTTGGGGCTTTGGAGTGCAAAGCCTTGTGGCAGATACTTAACATCTGGGAGATTTAATGCTGAACTGTCATGTATTCTGAGAATGACCTGCAGCAGGATTTGGGCTCATTGAGTCCCCTTACTCCATCCTCCTCTAGTGTAGCTACAATATTAAATGCAGTTTGTCATGCCCTTGAAAACTGGGCAAAATGTAAATACTAGCTGTGGGCTGTTGGAAGAAGCCAATTTATGAAGCTATCTTGTTTCATCTAACCATAATTAGGGTTAACCATTGTGTAGAATTTGGATGAGATGGTAAACTTATAATTAAACTAAAATAAGAGAAAGTGATTTTTAGTTTTCTCGCAGCCGCACCCAAAAGGTTTGTGTTAGGGAACTTTGTATGAACATAAAAGTATTTGTTTCTTCTTCTCATAGTGCTAGACTATAATTTACGTTCAAATACTGCCAATTGATCTGTCATCTTTAATTTTGACATATCCATTCTTGAAGATTGTAAGTTAATCATCACATTCTTTAATGCTAACTACGTTTTAATTCATTGATGAATAAATGGAGATAAACAGGATAAGCCTGTACTTACACAGAACATAAATGAAATCTTATTTTAATTCTAATAGTAAATGCGGTTGCAAACTTTAATCTGCAGAATCAATCTCATTACAGCTACAACTCTGTGCATGCTTAATTGTAAGTAAACTTCACTGGATGCAGTGAGATTGGCCAGAACTTCAGAGTAAATATTTTTAAATTGCAATTCAGAACACTTGGGGCAGTTTTGATCAGTTGGCTTCAAGCTAGAGACAATTTTTTCCAACTCTTTTTGTTCTGGTGTGTTGATTCTGACTGTTTTGACTCTTATGTGTTACTGTAAGAGAGAATTAAGATGACAGTATATCATACATTTTGTTTAACATAATTCAGAGGAGTCATATTTGTCAGAAATAAAAAAATAATATGTTAAATGTATCTTTTTTTAGCTCCGTCGCATGCAAGAAATGATTGCAAGGATGCAGGCGCAGATGCAGAGGCAAAGGCAGGGAGGTGAAGAAGACATTGCTATGACTCATGGGCATAAAGTTTAATTTATTTGGTAAGATTACATTTTATAGAGAAGCCAATATGAACAATTATGTGAATGAAGAAGTGTCATGCACTTCACTTGTTCAGTGCCAGCTTTGACTTCTTGATGAACGCATCTTTACATAGAAATGCTTACAAGCACCTCTTTGTGTGTAAACAAATTTCAATGAAAAATACATTAATATGCTTTAACTATAATGACAGAAACATCATGATTTTAGATAACTTTTTAGATTTTTGCAGAGTATTATAGACAGTCCCCACTCTGTACTAACTGTGTCTTCTATTTACTTCCACAGAGGAAACTTTGCATTTTATTCATTCATATATTAATATACATTGGTTGTCAAATTTTTAGATTAAGGTTTATAGCTTATAGCACTGAAAATTCATCAATATTATTGTATCAAATAAAAACCATTTTCACTAAACTAGATCAGAAGAGGGCAAATGTGGCTTACCTTGCCATTCTGCTCTTGTTTTCCCAGCTGTAGGTATTAACTTGGAAAATTGTTTAGCTACCCTTTTCTAGTAAATGAACCAAACTACACAAATGGAATGGGGCCGGGGAAGCAAACTGGTGCAGTTTCCTACTTGGCAGTTTGTCCTAGATCTCATTTTTTAAAAATAAAACCTGCAAAATTGTTCAGCCTTCAAAGGATCCATTGCAAAATAATTAGCACTCAATATTTCCTTAATCCAACACTGTAAAGGGTAATGTTAAATGAGATGCCTACAATAATTGCTGCCATCATATGCGTTATCCCCAATGTTTCTTTCCAAAGTGTTCATTTCTTTATATAGCTTGTGCTGTTAAACTAAAAATAAATAAATGGGGAGTCATTTCTGCCCCATCTTTGCTGGGTTATAACTCCATGCCTGCCTCTTAATAACAGAATAATTTGTATAGCAAACTAATCTGATTGACAAATGCAGAATTATTACATCAGAAGGGCAGTGTTTTTATTCATTTTAATATTAATGTACATATCTGCAGATATATATGTATTAAATACATATACAAACTTCTATAGGCAAGGTGTGTTTTGATTAATTCAATTTAGATATAACATAAATCTTCTGTCATAGAGAGAGAGAGGGAGACTGTTTTCACCTGGAAACACAATACTGTTCTGTCAACCTAATTAAAAAGAGTCCACATTGTATAACATATAGTCAACCCTCGACTTACAAACTTAATCCATTCTGGAAGTCCGTTCGTAAGTTGAAAAGTTCATAAGTCCGTTCATAAGTTGAAAAGTTCATAAGTCGAAACCAAAGTTCCCATATGAATGCATAGAAATTTAATTAGTGTATTCCTATTGGGAAAAAATTAAAACAAAGTCACTTACCAGGAGCCTGGCTCCTCACAGTGCCTTGGTAGCAGCCATTTTGCGCTCTTCTCTGCTCCCGCTCCCCCTCTCCCCGCCTCTCAGCTGATCGGTGCTGGGTCTCATCTCGGAAAAGCACCCAGGGAAGCCTCTGAAAGCGGTGCTTTGCTGCGGAGGGGGGGGAGTCGGGGGCAGGCCCCCCCTGCTTTCAGAAGCTTCCCCGGGTGCTTTTGCACTGCCTTTTTACCTGCTGAGTAAGCCCGGGGAAGCCTCTGAGACCCAGCACCGATGAGCTGAGAGGCGGAGGGAGTGGGAAGGCAGGGGAAAAGCTTGAAATTAAAAAAATGGTGCTTTTCCCCTGCCCCTGGGAGGCTTCTGAAAATGGCGCTTGCGGCGGGGGCGAGGGGCGAGGGGCGCCAGGTGCCCTGCCTTCCCCACGTGTTTTTTTCTGTTTGTAACTAGAAAAAAGTTCGCAAGTCGAGTCCGTTTTTCCCTAGTAGAGCAGTTTGTAAGTCAAAATGTTCATATGTAGAATTCGTAAGTCGAGGGTTGACTGTATTGGGATCCAGGACTACAGAAACAATGTCTTGGGTGATCAAACAAGTAATGAGTTTCAATTCTAGATTCTGCATAATGCTTAATTTGTATCCTTTAAATATTTGGTTCTGAATCAACAGTCATGCATGAAATTGTGCACAAATGTCAAGGCAGACCTTGAGATAAGAAGGATGCACTGTAGAGGGTGTGCAGTTCTCAAGAAAACTTAAAGCAGCTGTTGGTTTTCCTGTCATTACAGCTGAGAGAAGGGATTCAGGAATCCCATAGTCTTTCTGTATTGCTTCCTAAGAGAAGGCAGATACCTGTTTTGTCCCTAGTGAGAAAATACAAACAAAGCAGAGAAGGAGATCAGGAAGCCTTCTTATTTGTCCCCTGACAAATGTTTGTGATATAATCGGTGGAAGAATGAGGAGACAGAAGCAAAGTAAAGCAAGGAGTGTTCCTAATACACTGACCCGTAGTGCTTAAAACGTTCTCTTGGCGGTTTATAATTTAATTATGCAGGCTACACTCCCCCCCCCCAATGATCTAGCTACTCAGTTTACCAATCTTGGAAGGATGTAAGGATGAGTCAACCTTGAGCAGACTACCTGAGCCCATTGGGATCAAACTCAGGTCATGAGCAGAGTTTTAACTGCAGTACTGCAGTTTAACTACTGTGTCACAAAGCTCCTGACAGAAACAGATTGTTTGGGGTCAGCAGGACAATGGCTAAAATACCAGCAGCTCTTGTCTACTAAATAGTTCAAGAAAATATAAAATAATGGACAAAGACTTCTTCCTGTAAATTTATTTAAGCAAACTATTCCATATAATGTATTCTGGCTGGATAATTGAGTAGTTTACATATCTGCAGAGCCAGAGGTTGGGAGTTCGATTTCCAAGTGTGCTTCTCCTGCGAGAAGAGCAGCCTGTGTGGCCTTGGGCAAAATGCATAGTCCCAAGGTGCTCCCAAAAGAAGGAAATGGTAAACCACTTCTGTCTATCTTCTGTCTTATCTTTGGGGAAACATGGTAGTTAATGTTGATGAGAAGCTGAATCATTATTGTCTCCATGTTTGTGTTATGGTTCATCACGATAATCTAATATTATTTTAATCTAAACTAAGAGTAGTTGAGCATATAAATATTTTCTTTTTTATCTTGACAGAAATTCTCATTAATTGGAGCCATTTGAGACATTGATGTATTTTGGGGAGAGATGCTCATTGTGCTGTGAATTGGAAGGCCTGTTTGCATTCAACATGCAATTATATTACGGTCAATTTTGTAATACCTATTTTGTAAACAGTTTAAGAGTTGATCAGCATTTTAATTTTATTATGTAGTATGGTGATTTACTAACACTGATACTTACTACTCTTTGTGAACTTATTATGCTATTCCACACACTTACTTAGACTTTCCTAATCTAATATTTCTCATTTAATGGTAATGGATTACTGTCACTATTTAGAGTTTCTTTTTTGCACTGAAGGGATCAATTGATTTTGACCACAGCCTCAAAGGCCAAAACCTGCATGTGTGTTTTCCTCTATAGCCTTTCCATATATATCGTGTGTTTGTCTTGAGTATATACAGAACAACAAACCAATTTGTGATCTACTTTTCCCACGAATATCAAATTTGGTTGGTCACATGAAAAGTCAGCCCTAGGTTTTCTGTTCTAGTTGTTTTTGCTGGAGGACATTGTGAAGAAAATTGTGAGTGAACATTTAAGGCTTGAAGGGGAGTCCTTCGCTTGTAGGCTATCCAACGATGAAACGTGAACATGAAATTCTTTAGAGCCATTTTTTTCTTATATTTGACAACATAGTACGACTGTGTGCCTCAAACACTCCTGAACTGCTTTACACTTCTTGTATTGCAGACTCTTTTTATGAAATACTGTACATAATTGCCACGCACATGCATTTTGTAATTTTTTAATTTAGAAAATAATTATATAACTCTTAAAGGCATGGTACAGTGTAGAAAGCAATCGCTATTACATATTCTGATGTGTTTTTATATATTTTTACCTTAAAAAAAGACAACCAAAACATATCTTCAAGTGTTTGTTCTCCTGAATTAAAGGGAGAGAGGATATGCTGTGTCAGGAGAATGGCTGCTACCAGTTGCTCCAAAGTACCCATGCATGGGCGTTAGTACTGTGGTTGAAAAAGCATGAAAGAGAGTGATTTTAAATCTCCTGTCATTTAGTCTTCCAGCTTTAGGAACATGTGGAACCCATAAGAAATCTGCAGGTTGTGTGCTGACATCTTTCTCTTGGTCACTGTCACATGCTGATTGTTTCTGATACTCTGGTATGTTTCATGTATTTATATTTTGACAGCATTCTGAAAAACAAAGAAAATCTATTCTTTTCCTCTGCATTCAATGACAAACCAAGTTAATGATGTACATACAGAATAGGCTTTACTGGTTCCAGCAAGTAGCAGTAATTTCCCTTCCGGAAAATAGCAAGGAAAGTTTCCATTTCAGTGTTGTAGCTGCTTTTGCCAAAAAAACAATTGCATCACCTGAAATGCACACATGTACATATGCACCATACCCATTCATTCAGCATATGGAGCCCCCATGCAATGAGGAGACATGGGTTATCCACTGCTCTCATTGTGTGTCAGCTCCAGAAGTGAACTGAGTTATTGAACAGGATGTACATAAACACATATTCAGTGTTGTATATGTGTGAGAAATAATAGATATTTGAAGTGAAAAAGGTAATGTGAAGTGATTTTGCTTAATCACTGAATTGCTTTTTCCTTACAATTAAAATAATTATTCTAAAATTATCACTGCAACAATTGATTGGGTGAAATCTAGTAACATAAAATTATACTGCATGAGTCTGATGATATCATCAGTCATCCCATTATTATGGTAAGTGAAAAAAATGCCTATCCCCTTCCCCCATAATGTTCCCGGGCTCCCTTAGGATCTTTTTGATCCTGGGGAAGCCTTTCGGGATCACAAGACAAGGGGAGTGTTAAATGTTCCAAAATCACCACTGTTGGCCCAGCTGTGGCCGCAGGAACTGGCAGTGGGAATTTTCAGACATTTAAGACTTCCTGACCCTATTCATCTATACCCAAAGGATTCCCCAGGACCAAGGGACTCATAAGGGAGCTTTGGTACAGTGGTGCCTCGCATTACGACGTTAATTCATTCCAGCAAAATCGCTGTAGAACGAAAACGTAACGCGAAAATAAAAAGCGAATTGAAACGCATTAAAACCCGTTTAATGCGTTCCAGTGGGCTGGAAACTCACCGTCCGGCGAAGATCCTCCATAGGGCGGCCATTTCCGGGGCCTGTGCAGCAAGGAATCCGTCCCAGAAAACAGCACGGAGCCGTTTTATTTACCCGGTGGCTATTTTGAATCCACCGATCAGCTGTTGGAAAATCATCGTTTTGCGAAGAATCAGTTCCCGAAGCAGGGAACTGATCATCGTAAGGCAAAAAAACCCATTCAGACCATCGTTTTGCGATCGCAATTGTGATCGCAAAAAGATCGTTGTAATGCGGTTTTGTCGTAATGCGGGGCAATCGTGAAGCGAGGCACCACTGTATCTTGCTGAGCTGATAGGGAACTTTTTATTTCCAAAATATGGCTGCAGCTAATGAAATCATCAGATTTATGTGTGAAACTTTAGGTTCCTTGATTTCAGCCAGTATTCTTTATACCAAGCTTAGTTTTATTCATTTTTATAGTGTAATCAGAGCTGTTTGTTCTGGACTAAAGTCCATACTGCTATACGTAAAGTCATATTCAGATTGAAAAGTGTAGTATAAATAGGACTACAATAGGAAAAAGATTATGAACATGCTAATAGGAAGGTTTTGTTTGTTTTTGCCTTTATTATGTTTGATATACTGTTCAACTCAACCATTGCTATTTGCAGAATCTGTCAGTTAAACCGTTCATACTTTAGGGCCAAAGGATTGAACATGGGTACTCTCTCAAAAATATTACACCACCTTTTTGGTATTTAAACTTTCATATTCTTCAATTCTGTAAACTTACATCGGTCTCTAAATTATTGTCATATAAAACTTAAAAATGAACAAATTTAAAGCCTAGAGAATAACTGTTATTTTTATGTAAGTTTCTGGATGTATGTCAAAAGCTGTCATAACAGATCTTATAGAAAAAGCAAAGTAAACACATTTTGTATTAAAGAAAAATAAAGTATTTCTGAATGTTACAAAATCCATAGAGAAGAAAATATTGCTGTGAGAAAAAGGCTTCAAATGGAAGATAAAATGACTAGTTTTAGATAAAAGGACTGATTGTCCTTTCTCCCTGCAGCCTTTTGTACTACTTCACAGGCTGTTCCATAAGGCCTACTAATCCACTGGAACAGACCTGTTGGACTTAGAAGGGGAAGGGGAATTAATGCAGACTGTCACCTCCTGTTCTCCCTATCCTGCTTCTTGAGTGGGAGTGGTTTCATGAGTACATGCATCTCTAGATTGAACCCAGCTGTTTCATTTACTAGGCAAAAGCAATAAAAACTTTTTTCTCTTCCAAACTATTTACTAAAATCTGAACATAAATGGAATAGAGTTTTTGATACGGTCTCTCTTAATCTTTCTTCTTTGAAAGTAGTCAGTAAAACCTGTTTGTGCCATCCATAGCACCATATTTTGGGGTTAAATTATAGTATTTATTTTTAACATACTTTAGTAAGCTCTTTTTTTCTGGGAACATGGTACCACCATTTTAAGAGTTTTGAAATTTTAGGAGAAGAAAGCAGATAATTTTTTCCTGTTTTCTTCTCCTAAAAAATTGGTGCGTCTTATGGAAAGGTGCGTCTTATGGAGCGAAAAATACGGTATGTCAAAAGCTGTCATAACAGATCTTATAGAAAAAGCAAAGTAAACACATTTTGTATTAAAGAAAAATAAAGTATTTCTGAATGTTACAAAATCCATAGAGAAGAAAATATTGCTGTGAGAAAAAGGCTTCAAATGGAAGATAAAATGACTAGTTTTAGATAAAAGGACTGATTGTCCTTTCTCCCTGCAGCCTTTTGTACTACTTCACAGGCTGTTCCATAAGGCCTACTAATCCACTGGAACAGACCTGTTGGACTTAGAAGGGGAAGGGGAATTAATGCAGACTGTCACCTGTTCTCCCTATCCTGCTTCTTGAGTGGGAGTGGTTTCATGAGTACATGCATCTCTAGATTGAACCCAGCTGTTTCATTTACTAGGCAAAAGCAATAAAAACTTTTTTCTCTTCCAAACTATTTACTAAAATCTGAACATAAATGGAATAGAGTTTTTGATACGGTCTCTCTTAATCTTTCTTCTTTGAAAGTAGTCAGTAAAACCTGTTTGTGCCATCCATAGCACCATATTTTGGGGTTAAATTATAGTATTTATTTTTAACATACTTTAGTAAGCTCTTTTTTTCTGGGAACATGGTACCACCATTTTAAGAGTTTTGTTTATAAGATTATTACTGAAAGTTATAAACACTGACATTTAACTGTTCCAGAAAAGCTGTGACAACATGTGTGCCAAATAATTGGTATAAATTTAACCTTGTATAATCTTACTTTTCATTAAATTGTCCAAGAAACTCTTATATACATTGAGAATCGTTCTGTTTATTTGCATGTGTATGTTGGTTGCGGTGATTAGACCTTTATTACATAGTATAGTCGTTACCTGTGGAATTGTATTGGAAGTGTCATGGCTTTTTATGGTAGTTTTTAACCATCCAAGTTCCTACAAGCTCTTAAACAGTTATGAATTAATCCTTTGAAATTTTCTTTTGAGTTAATGTTTTTAAATAATTGTAAGTTCTTTTTTGTATCTCTTTTTGTGGAGTAAGAGCAATTCTGATATTAAGTCTTGAAAAAAACCCAGGAATAACCAATTTCTTAAGACATTCTTTGGCCTTAAGAAATACAGCTGGCATAGGAATGGTCTCTGCCCTTCATTATGATACTGGACAGTTTACAGAGCATTTAAAGTACTTTTATTAAAGAAAATTATCATTGTTACCATTTAGGGGAGTATATTGTTACAATTTTCCTGGTTTTCGTATTTGGATACTCCAAAGGGCTGTATTTTATATAAGACAATATTTAACATATAATTGATTTCCTGTGCTCTTTAACATTTGCAAGATCATTAATAAACATAATAAATTATGATGTGTGTTGGTTGAATTCTTTGAATAAATTAACAAGGAACAGGTGATGGCAGGAAAGATGTAAATGTTTCTGCTTCTGTTAAACATTATTTCTTGTAAATAATATTCATGGCAGTAGGTGTCAAAATAACTTATTCAAAAGCATTTCACATTACCACATGTCTTTAGAGAAACAACTACAGTATATTTTCTAAAATTCTGGAGTACTTACTGATCTTGAAACATTAGGCTTACCGGGGGCTAATTATATTCAGTCTAGCATGATCAGTGTTGGCTTTACCCATGTCAGTACTAGAGTGCTTCTAAACCCTGCTGCAAATTAGTTGGCAGTGAATGAGCCTAGTTTTCAGTTGAAGTGTGAAGAATAAATGTCGAATTGAAAATTAATGCCTTTTCCCAGCTCACCTTGTCTTGATCTAGTTTTAACAGCCCAAAACAGATCCTTGTTGTTATAGGCCATCAAGTCAGAAATGACTTGTGGCAACCCTAATAGAGTTTTTAAGGTAAGTGAGGTATTTAAGGGGTGGTTTTACCAGTTCCATCCCTCAGTAATTTTCCATGGCAGAACCCAGGAATTGAACCAAGGTCTCCAGAGTCCTAGTCCATTACTCTATCCCCTACATTGGATATCCTATGCTTACTTACTATGAAAGTAAGTCCACTGTATTTCATGTAGTAATCTACTAGATAAGCATGCATTCTGTGAATTGATCATTACTCACAGTTTCTGAACATGCAAAGAATCTCATTTTGAAATGGTTCTTAAAAAGAAATAGCCAACTGGGGAAATTTCCCCTTTCCTTCAAATAGTAAATAATTACATATTTGCAGTGTGCATACTTAACTCAATGTAGTGAGATTGTGACACTCATCTGAAGTGCTCAGAAATGGTCTACAAGTCTCTCCTCATGGTGGCAAGCTAGCACAATATAGCTTGCCCAGAGCCTCTTCAGTGATGAAGCACTTAACCCCATAAGGTAACTTTGCCTGTCTGAATTCCCGGTAAGTTTATTTATTAATGTTACATGCTTTCAAGCTGATTCTGACAGAATGGCCCTTTCCAGTTTTGTAAGTATAGAATGCTCAGAAGTGGTTTACCATTCCCTTCTGGAGGCGCTCTGGTAACTATGCAGTTTACAGAAGGCTGCATACACCCAGGGTTGTTGTGGTGCTGCGGGTTAAACTGCAAAAGCTTCTGGGCTGCAAGGTCGAAAGATCAGCAGTTTGAATTCATGCGATGGAGTGAGGTCCCGTCGTTTGTTCCAGCACCTGCCGACCCAGCAGTTCAAAAGCATGCAAAAATGCAAATAGATAAATAAGTACCACCACGATGGGAAGGTAACAGCGTTCCATGTCTAGTCGCACTGGTCACGTGACCACGTAAACTGTCTATGGACAAACACTGGCTCCATGGCTTGGAAATGGGGATGAGCGCCACCCCCTAGAGTAGGACACAACTGGAAAAATTGTCAAGGGGAACCTTTACCTTTACATACTCTGACTTTTCTCCTGGGAGGTGCAGTGGGGAATCAGTCTCCCAGCCTCTGGTTCCACAGCTGGGTACATAACTCCAGGTTCTGCAGTCAGGCACTCATATTCACTGAGCAATAGCAGTACTCCATTCTGAATAAATGTACATTTGGTTGCACTGCTTACCTTGCATCCTGCAACCAAGAATCCTTTCCACTGGAGGGCAATACACCCTTGCTTTTTGTGTGTGTGTGTGTTTTGAATTGTGGCATAGTCACCATTCACAGAAGGAATCTATATTTTTTTATGAAGATTGAGCTTGAATATATAAGCTAGATGCCTTATTTAACAGTCTTTGTTTTGATCCCCAGGTATTTGGAATATGTGATTGTTCTTCAGCTTCATTTGCTGTGAACTGATCATTTAGGGAGTAACAACCTTTTTGGACTATCAGACTGTTGAAAGAAAAGTGGTAGAGCAAATAATGTTCATAAATGGATGTCAGATGCCTTTGAATAGTGATATATTGTCCTATACAAACGGGTGAAGCTGCAAACATGTCTGAGCACT